TTAATTGTTGCTGCCTGGATTGTACGAATTAGTGCTAGCCACAAGCTCATTTCAGATTGAGTATGAGAATTGTACATACCTGTAAAACAAGCAAGAGTGAAAATTAATTTGAGGCCAAAATAGGGAAGAAGTCACCCCACAAGCTGAATGCTGTTTGTAAAGCAGCAGAAGAGGTTTCACAGTGGAGAAGCCACCGCAAAGAGAAACAGGAAGATTTTGGAGAATCCTAACTCACTTTTAAAACTTGTTCATGACAAGTAATGCTCAAATGCATTAGGCAGCTGTATGCTTGGTTTTAAATGTTGGCTAACAAGTTCTTATGACACATCATTTATACAATTCTCTGTTTAATACACTGCAGCCATAAAGCAATCTTCAATTAACAGATCTTAATGACTCACCCAGAACACCAATATCCAAGCCTTGAAGATTTTTCTCAATGTTCTTGTATACTGAATTTTTAGTGAAATCAGCTTCTATAACCTTCACCTTTTGACCTGTGGTTTGCTCTGTAATTAAGGAAAGAAAAAAAAATAGAAAACCCTGTTGTATCTACTCAGAGAGAGGGAGAGCTGTAATTAAGTAAAAAGAGAAACAATCAGATGTCCCATTTAGTAATGTCTGCTGTACAGTATGTAATTGTTTCAACTTTCTTTCTTCCAGAAATATCACAACACAAGCACTCTCACTGTACCCAGTTGTTTTCAGGTAAATGGCCTGGTAAATATAGGATGAATTTATGTCCTGAAATCTGTGAAAGTTCCCTCACAAAATCTAAACACCATTTGGTCCTTCAGTAAGGAAAAAAATCCCAGAAATAAACAACACAGGACTTCTTCCTCTGGTTATCATAATATTTATAAATGAACACTGTCAGCACATGTTAGGCAAGTGAATGTGGGCACCAGATCCTCTATATAAGCACAGTTTTGCTTACATATGGTTTAGAATTGTTTCCATGTAGAAGACAAACATATTAACAAGTAGAGCTTGTCTTTTTACTTAGGATAAGGAGGAAACAGGGCTGAATGTGATATGGTTTTTTCTGAGTTATTTTCAAACAATTCCTCTCTTGTTTTGACATTTTCACTCTCCTAGACTGAACCTTCCCCAGGATTTTGCAGGACTAAAAGGCATTTTAGGGAGGGTATAGCTTGAATTTTACAAGGTCAATTTACACAGAAGGGAAAGGGAAACGTGTGTGATTTTTCCAGTGTCACTGCTATGCAGGAGTGGAGCCCAGCTGTACTTTACCATTTTTCTCAGCAGTTGGTTTATTGCTGTTCATCATTTCAATGAAGTTTCATGAGGAAAAGAGGTAGAGGCTCCTCTTTACTCATTTTTAAAGGCAAGGTTCTCCTTTAAAGGGGCCCAGTAAGGTCTCTTCTAACTAGATGTTCACATTGTAAATTCTTGCTACTAAACCTGCTTTCAAGTTTTATGGACAACCTGAAATCCAGATGAAGTCTGCTTAAAAAGTGACAGGTGAAGCTTGGAAATGTCAATAGATGATTGGATTGCAGATTTGCTGCAATGGCAGGAATTCAGGTGCATGGATCTCATTTGGGAAACTGTCTCCGCTTGTTTGGAGACTGATTTTATCATACAGGCAACAGACAGTGCTGCCTTGAATAGGAATCACACTTCCTAATTTCTACACAGTAATCTTGCCTTACCCCTTGGTGAGCATTGAGAATTTAGGAAGAGGCCTTGCACCAGCTCCCACCAGAGAGCAAGGTGGTGGAAAGCTGGCTTCAGGTCCAGCAGGTCAGTTTGCAACAAAACACAGCCTCTGTTGGAGGATGAGAGAAAGCTGTTCCCTCCCAGTTGTTCTTCCTTGCTCCTTGATATGCTGCAAGTCTCAACCACCTTATGCTACTCAAGTAATGCCAGCACTCTGAGGAAGCAGCAGGAGCTCCAACTCCAGATCTGAAATACACACTGCCCTTTTTCTTGCCTTCTTTCCAACCTGTGATTGTGTGTATGAAAGGGACAAAACACCCTTTGAACCTTCAACCTATAAAAGCAACTCTAGAGTCAAAGGACCCTCTTGTGGTCCCAGGCTAGGGAATGGTACAACTATAAAGAAAAAGGCATTGTGAGCGTAAATGCACTGAGTGGGAAAGAACATCAACAGCTGGAGCAGACATCTACAGTGACCTTGTGGTTGAGGAGCTCTGTAAACAAAATGAGATGGTCTTAAAAAGTGTAGTGATGTTGTGGCCATCTTTCTTGTGAGCAGTCAGAAGGGCAGCCAAAACTAGAGCAACATAAAAATGAGGATCAAACAAAACATTTGGACTTTGTCTGTGTCCCCTTGTCTGTACAGAACTATACTGCTGCAACCAGCGCTGTCAGCCAACAAACAAGTACTCCAGATGGCTTTCCTCTGCCTCATTTAAGAATAAGACAATATATTAAAAACCAATAAAACTAACATGCTGATAAATGAATTATCCAGGGATAGCCCTTCTGAAAATGGTAACAGTTCTGTAAAGGAGAGAGCCAAAAAATAATTTCCAATGTTTCTTATGTCTATCCTTCTCTGTGACAAAGATTTATGGCAGTCTTTGAATATACAAGCCATTCTAACTCTTTTGAAAAGTCTCAAGCATGCCAGAAACAAAAAACCTAGGTTTTCAAACATCAGGACAGGTTATTGCCTGTGTTAAAAATGAAGAGAAAACTAATTTTAGTAAAATTAAAAACTTGAGATGAGCTGTTTAATCCAATTTGTCATAAAATGTATCATTGAGAAGGATACATCTAATGCCTTCTGACCTCAGACCACTTCAGAATCCCACTTGTCAGATAGGATGGTATACTGCCTTTTGAAATTTATCAAGAAGAGAATAAATCAGGAGGAAACATGAAGTTGGTTAGAACATGCAGTGTGCCAGAAACTCTCCCTTTCTATTTAGACAGTTATGAAGATCTCCTGAAAACCTGAGGCTGCAAAACAAATGGCCAAGTGACATAAGAACTGATTTTTTAGAAAAAGGAGACCGTTTTGAAGTACTATAGCAAAATTTGAATATCACAGAATAGCTGGGGTTGGAAGGGATATCTGGAGATCATCTAGTCCAAACCTCCTGCTAAAGCAGGTTGCATGGGATTGCATCCAGGTGGGTTTTTAATGTCTCCAGAGAAGGAGACTCCACAACCACTCTGGGCAGCCTGTTCCAGTGCTGTCACTCTCAAAGTAAAGTAGTTTTCCCACATGTTCAGATGGAGTTTCCTGTATTTCATTTTTTGCCCCTTGCCCCTTCTCCTGTCACTGAGCACCACTAAAAAGAGTGGCATCACCCTCTCGACATCCTCCCTTAAGATACTTGTATGCATTGATCAGATTCCTCCTCAAGCCTTCTCTTCTCCAGGCTAAACAGGCCCAGCTCCCTCAGCTTTTCCTCATAAGAGAGATGCTCCAGACCCCTAATCATCTTTGTAACCTTCTGCTGGGATCTCTTCAGTAATTCCATGTTTTTCCTGTACTGAGGAGCCCAGAACTGGACACAGTACTCCAGATGTGGCCTCACCAGGACAGAGTAGAGGGTAAGGGTCATCTCCCTTTCCCTGCTAGCCATAGGTCATGAACTGAGAAGCACTTAAGTTAAGGTGGCATTCGTATTTAGTGGAAATTTGCAGAGAAAAGAGCAAAATTAGAAGTTCATTTAACAACAGAGAGAAGTTACAGGAGGAAAAAAAAACGCAAACCAATCAAAACCAAAAAACAGTAAGACTGGGCAGAAATAAAAAAAATTTGTTAAATTATAAAGCACAAATTCTAGCTGAATTTTGAAAGCTTTTTGGACAAACATGTCTCCTCAGGAAAGTAGAAAAGAAACAAAAAGAATGAGGGTAAAAGCAGAACTGTAAATGGTGATAGAAAGTACCACTGAAGACAAACTCGATGAAAAACAAAATGAAATTAACAAAACCAACCAACTAAACAAAACCAACCCAACAAAGGCAAATATATTCCCATCCTCCCACCAAACAAAACCAAAACAAAACAAAAAAACCAAACCAAAAAAACCAACAACAAAAAACACACACACACACAAAAACCCCACAACACAAAAAAACCCACATGAACAAACAAAAAAGTTGTTACTAGTTACCAGAGCACTCAGAAAAATGGTCAAGACCCTCAAGTGCTCTGTTATGGAGTAGTGCAGATTGGGAAAACAGTCTTGAGCAATAGCACTTTACCTCAAGAGATCAGCAAGACACAACAGGCATTTCAATAGCCCTTGAGGATGAAGGAAAGATGTGCCAAGTGAGTTGTTTTATGCTAATCAGTGATTTCAGCTTGTTACCTGCTTAGTTCTTGTAGCAGGAAGGACAAGAGAAGACAGAGAATACACACTACAGCAGACTGGGAACAACCTATAAGAGGGGGCAGCTAAACGAGTTAGCACCTACAGGTCTTAGTGGGAGAAGGCACGTTTGATTCTTGACTGTGTGGGGTGATTTTTTTATTCACTGATATATTCAATATTAACAGGAATAATTTCAGGAGGGAGAGGTGGATAAAATACTTCTTGCATCACCAAACCCAAATTCATTAACAACCTCAAAACCAAAAAACCTTGTTGTGAGCAATTTTTATGTTTTACAGAAGTGGGTTTTTTTATTTGTTTGGCATTAACAGCAAAGCAGTATAGATTGTGGTCATATATTGATCCTAAAGTGTGACTTTTCAATCAGGACCTAGCTCTGCCTGTACAGGAGAAATAAAAAAAGAATGCAGTTAATACAGTCCATCATTTCTAACCTCTTGGTATTATGGTTTGAGTCACAACGACAGTGCTAAATGGGTTAAATGAGCAGTACACCTGGTGTAATGGTTCTCTCTGTATGCCTTCCACAAGACTTCCTTTCCTATCTTTTATCTCATTCTAAAAGAGCTTTCCAGTCTGAGTGGATTGAAATTCGGTTTTCAGTTCCAGTGCTTCTTTAAAGAAATGCTTTTCTTACTGCAGATTTCTGCCTGCTCCAGCTCTGAGAGCTGTTCTCAGACAATCTGTGGCCCACAGGACTTGGAAAGCCAAACACTGAGATCTCTGAAATTACACAGAGTTTAGGGTCTTTTAATTTATAATATTCAGCACTCAAAAGGAATGTGACAGTGTAATTAGGCAAATAATGTTATCAGTTTGAAAAGGAAGGCAAGTCTTAATTATAATGTCCAACTGATTGCAGAAAGATACATGGTCTAGCTGTTAAGAAAAAGGAAACAAGAGTAACGTGTCTAGCCTTGCAACGAATTCACATAGCCTACGAAAAACTTTCTGTGCCCTGATCTCCTAGTTCAGGGTAGTGATAGCTGCTTGCAGGGAGATGCTGTTTGTTATGGCAGTTTAGAAAGTCAGTGAGAGTTAGAAAATTGTGAAAACAGTATAATCATTCTGGATAAGTTCCTGCTGCATCTTTGGTTTCTGTTGTTTATTTACTCATATAACATCACAGGAAGTTTAATTTTTCTTCCTTCACAATGACTGCTCAG